TACAGGTACTTGTTTCACAGCTGCTTTAAATTCTTGTTTTCGTTCTTCTACATGTTGTGTTTCATCGACTGCACCTTCTTTTTCTCGCATATCCGTATGATACAGTTGTCCTCCAATGGTTAATTCTATTGCAATAACATGCCCATAGTTTGAAAATAGTTCTTTGAACTGTTCATACCGATTTTCCATTGGTAAACTTAATATTCTGTCTACTTCATGCAAAAATTCTGGTGTCGGTTCTACACTGCGATTGTCTAGTTTTATTATCGCTCGTGGAAAATTCCACATACATGTTGTGAATAATTTTTTCTTCAAGCTGGTACGAGCCATTCTTTCTTTTTCTTTGTAGCTGGTTGAAACGGTGACAAATGGACACGAAAAACTGCATCCGGTTTCACTAAATTTATTTTCCACAAACGATCGACTTCGTTCTGTATAGGTTAAATGTGCGTCGACAGTTGAGGAATCATAAACAATAACTTTGGGTTTCACATTTTCTTTCAAGCGAATCACAATTTCAAAACTGTATTTTGGTTTCAATCCATCGATGAATAATGCATTGCCGAGATTACATACTTCGAAAATACACTTCCAGTTTTCAAAAGTCAATTGTGAAGCATTTTTTATCTCAGCTAACGCTGATACTGTGGGTTGTGAACCAAGGATCGTTATTGTTTGTGGTGTGGTAGTAGACAGTGTTACAAAGTCTGAACTGACAATTGGTTGTGTTTGTAGCAGATGTGACAAATCTGGCGCTGTTATCAGTGGACCGCAATTTCTTAGTTCAGAACTGTTCGATCGTTGTTCGGCTTGAATGTCTTTATCTGAGTATCAAAAAAAGTGAATACTTCGATCATAAGTATGCGCTAATGTAATGTTAAGATCTGATGCCAAATGAGGCATTAAAATTAAAACGATCTCTTACTTTTATTGGTAGGATTTGTTTCTGCCATATTCTATTACTGTTTACAGCACAAAGAATGTATTCTTTTCTTCACTTGTCGAGACTTCACTGTTTTGTACTATTCAGATACTGAAATATTCAATCAATGAAAGAATTTGGAAGAAAAACATACAATAAGTCTTGACCTAATGAATTTTATTCTATTGTTAGTAAGACTTCAATTGTTTACTACACTAGTTTTTTCTCTTGTACGATGGAGTTTTACCACAAGTCTTTAGGGCGTAAATGAAAAAATAGCAGTTAAACTTATCTGGAATAGTTGGTTTCCACATTTACTTGAATCGTTCTCAATGATAAGCATTATATACCGCTCTTGCTCAGAAATTAGATAAAGCATCTTTGCGTTGCCATCTATGACTTACAAAGCAACTCGATAGACCACTATACAACCCTTTGTGGGTTAAATATCGTGAAACACAGGATGATGGAGAGTTGACCTCGGAGTAGGTTGTATTAGATAACCGCTGGCAATTGGCTCTCACTAGAGACGCTTCTCAGATGAAATAGCAAACGAAACTTCAGTGTAATGTCCATTAACTGACATATATGGTAGCACTTGCACGTAGTAAAAGTCAACTTTTAGCCATGGTGAGAATTAGGAATTAACGCATTTTCGCCGAGTCCAGTAACGCCGAACAGTTTTCATGATCGAAAGAGTCTCTAGATCGAATATAATTAACACCTATACAAGATGTTAATTAAAGCAATTGGTTCATTGTCAAACACACTGTCTCCCAAGTCAGATGGTTACCAGATTAGTTGCTTACTATGCGATGATTTTGGGGATGAGCACATTTAAGACTCAAAATACCCACATTCACACCCACGCCTTGACTCATATCGTCACCCACACCCACACCCACATGCTTTTCATTTTATTGTGTCATTTGAACGAATATGAATGAGGAAAGAAGAACAAAAAAATGAGCACTGTATGATAAAACACCCATGGATCCCGATCTAGTGGTCGTTTGAAGTCTTATCGTTGTTGTTGCCGCGTCTTGCATTGTGAAAAGTATGGAAGTATCGGGACTAAACGAGCAGTGTGTGACATTCAATCTATCAATAGTACATGCCCTTATACCAGCCTGATGAATACTGCCTAGCCTATAATCAACCGTTATCTGATAAGATGTGGCGGTAGATGGCAAGCTGACGTTGAGGGGTGTATCATCAAGTTCCAAATAATATCGATAATTAGGTCCACCAGGTTTCAAGGGAGCTGACCAAGTGAAAAGAAGACTAGTCGAATTGTTCTTAACTGCAAAATTTCGTGGTGGTGATGGTCTACCAATATCTGTTCGATACTCGCTTGTTGCGTTTACAGAAGTTCCATTACAGGTCAATATGAATGAATAAAGTGTATACGGATCAAGGTCAACAAAAATGACGGTACCAATTCCTGATGATGTATTCTTGAAATCTACAGGTTTCTATCGATCTATTTCATTGACTTTCACCTGACATGAACATCCTGTCGATGAACAGTTCGATACGTTAACCCAAAGCCTATAATTGATGAATTGAAGAAAGAAAATTCAAAACAAAACCTAGGCGAACTTACATGATTCCAGTATTGATTATATAAGTTTCGTTCGTACCAAAATAGTTGATCGTTGTTGCTGTCGCTACATGAGCAATTGCAAGCATTAGCACAATGAAAAAGCACGTTTCAAGTTTCTTGCCGTTCTGATAACAATGTGCAGCGTCTGTATGAAAGCGAATTACCACCCACAGCCTACATGAATAATACGATAACATTAACGCTCTTCGAGTGAGTTAAGACAACAAACGTGTCATGGCTCTTTTTTTCCTTTCTCGGTATACTCGGTAAAGATACAAAAATAACAGAGAATAAAGCGTCGTCGTCGAGATGCTTAAATTACAAAATAACTAATGAAAGTATTTGATCATGGCTCACATAAAAAAGAGTAAGAAGTGGCATAGAATCCAAAAGAGAAAAGGTGTACAAGACAATGGAAAAAATAGCGAAACAGATAAAACATAGGCAGATTTATTACTACTATCACCATGAAAAAGACTTCTGCTGCCTTACCTCTTATTTCTACCATAGAGTGTGGATGAATAAACCCTCCACACCCACACCCTTTACTCATTACACAAAAGATCTGTCGTTATGTATTTCCTACCTATAAACCATCTTTTTGACTAAAATAAAAATCTTACAAATAAAAAACCGTCTGATGACACACTTGAGAAAGGTCGAAATCGCGATCATGGCTTCTCGACTCACCCCACACCCACACCCACTCGTCTCAGCTCTAGATGTTGCTCTATGACCGAGTTATAGATGTCGCTAGTAACTGAATTTCAATAATCGATATCTATTGCGTCAGCAGATGATTATGGTTGAAACTTTTAAAGTAGATACTAGATCTATGAGGCTATATAATGATCAAAAGAGGATGGGGGTTGGGTGTGGGTACTCAATTCACTGACACCCACATCCTGAGAATAAATCTTACGTATTGGTAGCAGATTCGCTTGGATAGAGATTCAAAAGCGAATTTTGGTTCATACAATTTTTTTTCCCGCTTTAGTTGTTGGGGATGACAATCAATTGTTTAGATACATTAAAGATCATCGAATTAGTTCCTGAACTATATGTGATGAAATTCACGTAGAGTTCATGGAGAATTAAGGTCTAGAAACAGTTCATAAAATGGATCTGTATCAAAGTATTCTAAATCTGGTGAACTGTAACTGTCAGTATGCAACTGTATTCCTCACACACTTTCATGTTTGAAACACTATAGCATCGTTTCTTGGTAAGAAATAAATCCTCCATTTTTTCTCCTTTTTTAAGAGTGATCCTCCCGAATATTCGGGTCATACATCCTCCAAAATCCTCCTTTTCTTCATATGGTCGTTAGCATACTACACGAAAATATAAAAGTTCAATTTATTGGTAAACTAGTAATGAAAAATAAATGATCTATAATTTCGGTCTTCTTTTTTCTATTTCAACGAAGATCGATCAAATCATACTGATAATCGGTAAGACTGATATAATATTACAACTTATTGATTATGGACTTCGACTTGATAAATGTCTTGTTTATTTAAATCGAGATAGGTCATGAGTCTTTTTTTCTCTAATAAACTAATTACATATGTGTATATATTTCGATAGTCATGTACAGAAAAGATGAAAAATAAGGAATAAAAATAAAAACAAAAAAACAATCTATGATAGTCGAACAGAATCGACTAAATGGTATAAAACACGCGTTATCTTCAGTGAATCAATGCACATGTATAAACATATCGCACAATAAGGAGAAAAAAATTGTTTTTTTTCTAGTAGTGATGGGCCAAAACGTTTACATTAGAAACGAAAGAATAAATAGAAAAGTTTTCACGACTATCACGTAAGTAAGTCATCATTTTTCTTTTCTTTTTATACAAAACTAAGGAAAAAAGTTAAGCAATGGCGAGCAATACATGCGTTATTTCAAATGGAAAGGAAAGAAAATTACTTTCTCGTTACTTGATAGTCGTAAGAATATTTACTTTTGTTCTTCCAATTTTCGGGTTCCATTTTTGGCCCATCAATATGGATCTATGATAGACTCATTTCGTAAACAAATTTAAGCATGTTCATTTTTATTACGTGTCCGCCATTCTCAGTAATAGGTTATATAAATACATCTGTATAATCATTTTCTCATATATTACTCATTAGTAACAAAACTCACAAAGTTTATAAAGTATTTAATATCATCTATTCTGTTGTTTTGTTGTAGATTTTATTAGATAAACTTAATTTATCATACATTTTCTTGTTATGAAAAATTTATTAATAACAAAAGAACAAAATAAAAATAACAATGAAGAAATTACTTTGATATGGTTGGATTGCAAAATGAAAGAAGTCGATCATGTAGATGACATCAAGAATCGATTGTATTATATTAATGATTATGTTGTATTTTTTACTGAACTAGAATCTTGTATTAAATATATGGAATCAATTCATAATGAAAAAATCTTGTTGATCTTGTCCATTTCTGATATGACACAAATACTAACTCAGATTGAAAATTTATCTCAAATTGATAGCATCTTTATTTTCGATTGGGAACAACGATCTCATGATCGACCTATTCTAGAATATTCAAAACTCATTGGTGTTTTTCAGGATTTCGATATGTTATCGTCTTCTATTGAAGAACAAATGGAATTTCTCAATGAACATTTTCAAACGTTTAGTTTCTTTGATCAAAATGAATATCTTATAAAAGACTTATCAAAACATACAGCTGATCTTCTCTGGTATCAACTTTATCATGATGTGTTGTCTCAGCCAGCATACGTCACTGAAGATGCTTTACAAACAATGATTCACGAATTTCGTTCATTGTATCGAGAAAATAGTAAAACATTTGAAACAATTGAAAATTTCGCAAGAGAATATCGATCAGACGATGCTTTACAATGGTATTTGAAAAAGACATTTCTCTATAGAATGATCAACAAAGCATTAAAAGTCAAAGATATTGATCAATTATATGTACTAAAGTCTTTTATGAAAGATGTAACACAATGTTTTATTCGTGAACATCGAAAATTGATTGAGACAGGCAAAGAAAAATTGATTGTCTATCGAGGAATGAAATTATCAAGAGATCAGATAGAAAAATTTACAGAGAATCTTGGTCAACTCATTTCAACCAATGGTATTTTAATCACAACTAGTGATCATTTAACCGCAATGAATCAAATAATATGTAATCAAGAAAAAGCAAACCTTTGTTCTATCTTATTGAAAATCGAATGTGATTTATTACATATGAATGGTATTGATGTTATTGCTGATTTAGAGGAAGAGTATCAAATGATTTTATTCAATTCAAATGCTACTTTTCAATTGGTTGACGTAAAAATGAATGAAGAAATTACTTTGATTCAACTCATCCTATCAAATGAAAGTCAAACTATAAAAGAAAAATATATAAATGATTCTCGTCGTCGAATAGCCAACATTAGTCTTGATATTCTGTTTGGTCAATTAATGTGTGATATGGGTTTGTGGAATCAATCACAGCATTATCTGGAATATTTATTGAATGGTTCACAATTGAATAATGAAGATTTCACACAAATTGAATATAGTCTTGGCGATGTTTATCAATTGAAAGCTAAATGGTATGATGCACGAAAATATTATGATCGTGCTTATGTTAGAATAAAAAATGTTCAACCTGCAAATAACAAAGAATCAGCTTATGTGCTCTGGAATATTGGCAACATCGCGTTTGAAGAAGGAAAATATGAAGAGGCTCGCGATCATTATAGAAGAGCATTATCACTTCTAAAGCCAAATAATACATCTACAACGATAAGTAGAGTTCTTTTCTTAAATGATCGATTCAATTCTATATTAAGCCATATTCATGGGAAGTTCGGATTGATATTTAGCAATATATTTGGATTCATGCAGTCGACATGTGTTTGGTCTTGGACTAGAATATGGTCAAAATTTGTTAAGTTGTTACGTAGAAAACAAGAAATAAGCAGTGTTGAATTTCTTAGTGAACAATTGGACAAAATGAAGTTTCACGAAATATGTCGGGAAGTATTAGAGTGTAATTGGCAACAGTGGTGCCTAGCTAATATGAACAGTTCAGCTCTCATTGGTGCTATTCTTCGAAGTCTTGGAAGAATCTTGAATAAGCAGCGCAGATATAAAGAAGCATTCCTCGTCCATCAACAAGCACTGACAATTTTCGAACAATTTTATCAATCTTCACACATTGAGATTGCTTTGAGTCTGCACTACATTGGTACCGTTTTTTACTGTCAGGAAAAGAATGCGGAAGCTCTTGATTTCTGTGAACGAGCCATGTCCATTTTTAAAAAATATTATCCAAATGGTCATCTATACAATGCTCGTAATCTTAACATCATCGGCCACGTTTTTCATAGCCAAATAAAAGACAATGAATCTGAAAATAAATATCAGCAAGCATTAACAATGATGAGAAAATACTATTCGTCAGGTCATATAAGTATAATTGAGAGTCTTGTTGGAATAGGAAATATTCGCTGTCAACAAGGAAGATACAATGAAGCATTGATATTTGATCAGGAAGTGTTGAATATTCTCGAACAATATCATTCATCTGGTCATATCGACACCATACTTCTTTTGAACAAGATTGGCTATACAAAAAAGCAAGAAGGGAAGTATGATGAGTCTCTCGAATTTCATCGCCGAGCATTAGATATGCAACAGAAATATTATCCATCTTATTATGCTTCACTAGCTAACACTTTCAATCATATAGGAAATGTACTAAAATGTACATTAAAATACGATGAAGCATTGGATTATTTTAAGCAAGCATTCAACATGCAAATAACCTATTATCCATCGGGTGATATTACGATGATGGAAAGTCTCAACAATATTGGCGATCTTCTATTTGATCAAAAGCAGTACAATGATGCTTTAAGTTATTATCAACAGGCATTAACAATTTGCCAGACACATGCACCATACGCTATCAATTCTGTAGCTTTTTGTATGAATAATATTGGAATCATTCTATGTACGCAACAGAAATATGCTGAAGCTCTTGAATATCATCAGAAAGCCCTTAATATACTAGAAAATAAATCTTCATTGTACCAAACTGGTATAACGGACAGTCTTTGTTACATTGGTGATCTTATGATCGAAGAGGAAAAATACAGTGAAGCACTTGACTATTATCGAAAAGCTTTAACATTACTGGAAAACTATCTTGCTTCTCCACATATTAATATTGCTGATATTCTCAATCGTATGGGCCATGTCTTATACCATCAACGGAAATATGACGAAGCCATTGAGCTTTATCAGCAGTCATTATCTGTTCGAGAGAAACTGGATCCAGATGGTAATATTGATATGGCGCCCGTTCTTATCAATATTGGAAAAGTCTTATATGAGAAAGTTGATGATGATGGAGCTCTGTCATATTACCGAAGAGCTTTAGTTATTCAAGAAAAATGTTATCAGTCACCACATATCGATATTGCAGATACCCTAAACAGCATTGGTCTTGCATTATACGGTCAGAAAAAATACGATGAAGCATTGGAATTTTATCAACGATCATTATCTATTCGAGAGAAACTGGATCCAGCCGATAATATTGAGATGGCGACCGTTCTTACCAATGCTGGGCGTGCCTTGTATAAGAAAGCTGATGGTGACGGAGCTCTTGAACATTATCGGAGAGCCTTAGCTATTCAAGAAAAATATTATCAATCACCCCATATCGATATTGCAGACATCCTTAACAGAATTGGTCTTGCATTATACGGTCAGAAAAAATACGATGAAGCACTGAAATTTTATCAGCAGTCATTATCTATTCGTGAGCAACTGGATCCAGATGGTAATATTGATATGGCGACTGTTCTTACCAATATTGGGCTTGCCTTATATAAGAAAGCTGATGATGATGGAGCTCTTGAATATTATCGAAGAGCTTTAGTTATTCAAGAAAAATATTATCAATCACCCCATATCGATATTGCAGATACCCTTAACAGCGTTGGTCTTGCATTATACGGTCAGAAAAAATACGATGGAGCACTGGAATTTTATCAACGATCATTATCTATTCGAGAGAAACTGGATCCAGCCGATAACATTGATATGGCGACCGTTCTTACCAATGCTGGGCGTGCCTTATATAAGAAAGCTGATGATGATGGAGCTCTTGAACATTATCGGAGAGCCTTAGCTATTCAAGAAAAATATTATCAATCACCCCATATCGATATTGCAGACATCCTTAACAGAATTGGTCTTGCATTATACGGTCAGAAAAAATACGATGAAGCACTGAAATTTTATCAACGATCATTATCTATTCGTGAGAAACTGGATCCAGATGGTAATATTGATATGGCGACTGTTCTTACCAATATTGGGCTTGCCTTATATAAGAAAGGTGATGATGATGATGGAGCTCTTGAATATTATCAAAGAGCCTTAGTTATTCAAGAAAAATATTATCAATCACCACATATCGATATTGCAACATGCCTTAACAGTATCGGCTTTGCGCTATGTCGTCAGAAGAAATACGATGAAGCACTGGACTTTTATCAACAATCATTATGTATTCGAGAAAAACTAGATTTACTTGATAGTATTGATACGGCGACTCTTCTTTGCAATATTGGTCATACAATGTATGAAAAATATGATTACAATGCAACACATTCATATTATCAGAGAGCTTTGGTCATTCAAGAAAAATATTATGAATTACCACATATCAATGTTGCGAATACTCTTAACAGAATTGGTCTTACATTATATGACCAGAAGAAATACGATGAGGCACTGGAATTTTATCAACGATCATTATCTATTCGTGAGAAACTGGATCCAGATGGTAATATTGATATGGCGACTGTTCTTACCAATATTGGGCTTGCCTTATATAAGAAAGCTGATGATGGAGCTCTTGAATGTTATCGAAGAGCCTTAGCTATTCAAGAAAAATATTATCAATCATCACATATGGATATTGCAGAAAGCCTTAATAGAATCGGTCTTGCGTTATGCGGTCAGAAGAAATATGATGAAGCATTGAAATTTTATCAACGGTCATTATCTATGCAAGAGACACTGGATCCAGATGGTAATATTGATATGGCGACTGTACTTACCAATATTGGGCTTGTCTTATATGAGAAAGCTGATGATGATGGAGCTCTTGAATATTATCATAGAGCCTTAGCTATTCAAGAAAAATATTATCAATCACCCCATATCGATATTGCAAAAAGCCTTAGCAGAATTGGTCTTGCGTTACACGATCAGAAAAAATACGATGAAGCACTGGAGTTTTATCAACGATCATTATTTACTCGAGAGAAACTAGATTTACTTGGTAGTATTGATTCGGCGACTGTTCTTACCTATATTGGTCTTAGTATGCATGAAAAAGGGGATTACGATGCAGCACGTTCATATTACCAGAGAGCTTTAGTCATTCAAGAAAAATATTATGAATCACCACATTTCGATGTCGCAAAAAGTCTTAACAGAATTGGTACGACGCTATGCGCTCAGAAGAAGTATAATGAAGCGATTGAGTTTTACGAAAGATCATTGTCTGTTCATGAAATATTATATCCATTGGGTAGTATTGATATCGCCGTTGTTCTAAGTAATATAGGTCTTGCTAAGTATCAAATGTACGATGATGATGAGGCTCTAAATTTCTACCTTCGATCATTAGTATACTATAAGAAATATGCCTCAAATTCTTCGAAAATTGTTACATGTTTGGACGAGATAATTTTGGTATTAACAGGTCAAAGGAAATATGATGAAGTTTTGGATATTCAAAAAGAAAAATTGACAATTCTTCAAAGCAACATACCTATCGATCAAAAACAAGTTGCGAAATGTTTGAATAATATTGGCGTCACTTTATTTGAACAAATGCAGTTTGATGAATCGATCAACTTTTGTCAACAAGCATTGACCATACTGGAAGAACATTACCCATATGATCATGTGGAAATATGTGTTTGCCTATCATGGCTTGTTGCTAACTTGAATAGAAAGGCTGAGTATGGTCGTGCTGTTGAATATTTACAACGATGGTTGCAAATAACGGAAGCTAGTCTACCTATTCATGAGCTGTGCAAACATGAAGTGTTCCATTGGTTATTATTGATATCGAGAACTAGAGGGCAACATGAGCTATCGCTTGTCTATGAACGAAATCGTTTGCTCATGTGTCTGCAACATATACCATCGGATCATGAATGTATTGGCAATAGTTTTGTAGCTATAGGTGAAATTTATGAAAATCTTCGTCAACCGAATTTCGCATTAGATTTTTATAAAAAAGCGTTTGTAATGTACAAGAAATGCTTATCCTCTTTAGATGCTCGCCTATTGATGACGATCTCGAATATCGAGCGACTCTCGGAAGAACTTGGTATAGAATCTGATGAACTAAATGAGTCTAAAGTTTTATAATACATAAAACTAATCGTGACAATGCTTTCATTTATTGAATTTTAATCGAATAAACCTATTGTATACAGGTGAAATTCATGCTGAAGTTGAAAGGCACAAAGTAAAATAAGAGACATTTTTTTAAGTATTTTATCCAATGCTTATTCATTGGCAACATCAGCAATCTGATAGGCATGAAATGTGGATGTGGGTGTGAGTGAGGAAGGAGAAGAAACTGACGCCCGCACTCCATAACTAGTAAAAGAGGAAGGCTGAAAGATGATACAAGAATGATTGAAGCCCTCAATACAGAGGTATATGTTCGATTGAATCATTTCGAAAGTGAGCTGCTTCGATGACCTATAAAAATATTTAATATTAAAGTAATATGCAATCTGAAGAAAATGAATGTTGAAAAACTATTTTTGGTTTTCCATAGTTTTCAAAACCAGTTAATGCTCTGAATGGTAGTGCAAAAACTATCAAAGAGTTTCCACAACAATATTTGTTAGAATTGAACGTATAGGATTTTGTCTAATAGTTTTAGAGTACTGAAGGTTCAAATACAACAAGATCATCATAGATTTCGCTAGTTTCGGAAAAACGTTTAGTCGCTCAAACAAAACAATAACGTAAAACTAAAAAACAAAGAAAACACCATTCTACAAAGCACGTTTAAAGAAGGCATCTTCTAACAGAAATGTTTCGTTTCACGATTCATTTTTTTTTTGGATCATATTCTTCGAAGTCTATTCACCTTATTGGACTGTTATTTATCTTAGACAAACATGGAAATAACGCATCAATGATATACTATTTTCATTAATATTTTTGAATACTGTCAGAAAATTACTGCTTGCAGAACAATATGTTCCAAAGCATTATCATGAAAAACAATGTCTTTGTATCTCGTCTTTTGGCTAGTGAAAATCACAGGGTATTAATTACTTGCATTCTCAAGTTATTCGAATTTTTATCGAGTACCTGCCAGTAAGTCTCGTCCTGGGGTATGGGTGTGAATAATTGAAGAGGATCACGCGCTTACTCACTCCACCCTACCCCACTCACAACCATCCATACACAACCAACTGTCCTGAACTTTCTTATTTCTAATAAATGCATTAATATTTTAATCGAATAACAGAAAAAAGTATCGACAACATAAGATATTATGAGAGATATGTTTAAAACAGTTGATCATCGTTATTTTCATCGCTTGTTGCTTCATGGAAATCCTGATAGTATGGGACTGTGGACTTGAATGTGTGTGTCGATATTCATTCTACTCACACTCATGCATGCGCGTCTCTCCGTATGACTAACACAGCCCTGATATCGCTTATTTCCTTTTGCACTGAAGTTATGAACGCAAAGATCAAATACGATTAATGAATTTCGTACTATTGAGGACTTCAGGAACGAAGATGTCTACCATGAGTATTTATCCATTCTCTCAATATCCAAACCCTCATATTCAATTATAATAAAAGAGAAAATAAAAACATATTATTCTATATTTTTCTCGTTCTTGACGGGAAGTGACACAAAGCAAAACCATGAAAAAAAATTTTCTGTTGTTGTTTGCCTTTTTTTCTCATTCATAGTATCACACATACTTGCAAGGAAAAAAATGAAAAGAAAATATCATAATACAATAATTTTTTTGATTCTCGCTCAGAGAGAAACAAAAAAGAGAATGTCGTGTGTTTTGGTTTTTTCCAACTTTTTTTTGTGCACTTATGCCATAAATAAGCATATTTTCTGACAAAAGCGTAGAGACAGTTCGCAAAGAGATATTTCCATCTTAATATTTTAGAAATTTCAGATTATACATATGTAGAGGTTAAAGTTACACACGAAATAATGTCATTTTTTCTTTGTTAAATGTAATCTCTGAATGCTTCGCATTGTTCTATAATTATTAAAGATCGAAAATTAAAAATATGAGTTCTCTTTCGGAAGACGATGCTCATAGCTGTTCCGATATATCACAAATAATTAATAAAAAATAACAAAAAATTTTCTTATAAAGAACTTAAAATCTCAGATCAATTACTTAGCCGTAGATTTAAGATTTTTGACGTCGAGTGACTCGATGAACAGGAGACACTTCTTCGAGAATAGCCTAAGAATGGTACTGTATCTTTATTTTACTTCGAGAAAGTGAATTCATATGAAATAATGAGATTTGTCCGAAAGCTAAAGTAGTATAAGTTCGAACATTTGTGACATCATACTGATTTTATATTCTAAAATCTTAAATCAATAATGTGAAATCGGTACTGTGGATTTATGACGATAAACAAACTGTTAGCAGATAGTTTTGAAAACTGTAATTCTATTTTTAGCTAAAATTTGTTTGTCAATAAAAATTTAATCGTCATTCGCATTGAAAACATGTTTTTTAGATCTGTTGATGTGGTGGGTGTGGGTGTGGAAGTGGGTGTGTAGGTGTGGGTGGGGTGTGAGTGGGGTGTGGGTGGTGTGAGTGTGGGTGTAGGTCTTGTTCTACTCCAATCACACCCACACCCTGTTCATTCGCTGTGAATTGTGAGTATAGAAAAATGTCTCATTGTTTTTCATTGGTGATGAATGACGACACGGTCAAATAGAGAAAATGAGAGCATATACATATATATATAGACATTACAATTAGCACGAACAAATGTTAATGCAGCAATGGATTTTATACAACATGCAACGCCAACAGAATTCTTAATTAATCATGAAAAGTTCGTCTTATTCAAATACATTATATTATTTTTTTTTTATTACTTAGTTGTTCTTACTTATTCATATACATTCAGACATATCTATTCACGAGAACAAGAAGATAGAATGAATCGGATGGCTATCATCATTTCCAAAGAATACATATCGCCTGAATCAATTCCTGATTCTACACCAGCATTGAGTGTGTATAACAACCAGAGAGAAGAAAAATCTACTAAATAACTCAATATTCTGTCATATGTATTCATCTCTATTATCTATATTGTATATATTAACTAAATCCAAGTGAACTAGTCAATCATTAGATCAATAAAGCATTTAATCGGACATCACGAGCGAAATGTTTACAACATCCCTAACGACCACACACATTGGTCCTACGAGACATCCACACTTAAACAAAATAATACGATCATACACAAGCATTGACTGACATTTCATTAAATGTTACACACAAGCACTTCTGCCACTCGATAACAATTTATTTCAGCAACATTCGAAATACCAATGGTATTGTGGTAGCTATACACACCCCACACCCACACCCACACCCAGAGTAGGCATTTTTCGGGGTTATTTGTGACAGTTTTTCACCATTATAATTATCTAAATTTTCGACCATTTCAATGCCATTTTTGCGTTGTAAATTTTGGCTGGGGAGTCTTGAAAGAAAATTCTGGATAGAATTAATTTCTAAAATCTATGCATACATATGTATATGCATAGTCAGTGATACATTGAGTTGAGTTGAGAATAACTATTCGAGAAAAAATAAATACTACCAGTTATTATGAGTATGAGTGTGAGTATGAGTTCTCTTGAGATGAGATGAGTTGAGTTTTCAATGTTATCACTATGGGTCAGATAACTACGCTGTCTGACTCAATAGGGAGAGGAACTTTCGTGCCATAGCGAAGCAGTGTAGTACTAGGAAAGGCCTCTATGTGTCGTTGGTCCTTACCGTTCATACGGCATACATTCGGCCATTGCCCTATCGGTCCGGGGTGGTCCGCTCTGTGGTGCCTATGGCATTGGCAAGGGATCTCTCTCTTGTCGCGCGCGTAAGTCAAAATGAGCTGAGAAAAATCGAAACAAATAGCAATGCAAATAAATTTATTGAGCAAGCGACAAGAAAAAATTACAGTTAGATTTTCTTTTTCACATAGTCGATTGCGTCTGTGACCGTTTTAATACTAGGATGCTTAGGTGGAAGTGTTTTTTGCAAGATAACAAGTGCTTTTTCTAAGAATGAGAGTGCTTTTGAGTAGTCACCTTTGCTGGCATATGTCATACCGATGTTGTTGTAGGAACCAGCCAAATCCGGATGATTCGGAGGAAGAGCTTTTTCTCTTATTTTATGCGCTTTCTCTAGGAATTGAAGTGTTTTTGTGTAATCATTCATGCCACGATACACTCCAGCGATGTTGTTGTATAAAGTAGCCAAATCGGGATGATTCGGAGGCAGAGCTTTTTCTCTAATTTTAAGTGCTTTTTCGTAAAATTCAAGCGCTTTCGAGTAGTCATCCATGTTGCTAAGCACTAGACCGATGTTGTCGTAAGAAATAGCCAAATCGGAATGATCCGAAGGCAGAGCTTTTTCTCTAATTTTAAGTGCTTTTTCGTAAAATTCAAGTGCTTTTGGGTAGTCACCCATATCTTTATACACTCCACCGATGTTATTGTACGACGTAGCCAAATCGGGATGATTCGAAGATAGAGCTTTTTCATAGATTTGATGTGCTTTTTTGTAAAATTCAAGTGCTTTTGAGTAGTCATTCATGTTGTTATATACTAGACCGATGTTGCGGTAAGAAATAGCCAAATCGGGATGATTCGGAGGCAGAGCTTCTTCTCTAATTTTACGTGCTTTTTTGTAAAATTCAAGTGCTTTCGAGTAGTCATTCATGTTGTTATATACTAGACCGATGTTGCCGTAAGAAATAGCCAAATCGAGATGATTCGGAGGCAGAGCTTTCTCTATAATTTTAAGTGCTTTTTCGTAAAATTCAAGTGCTTTCGAGTAGTCATCCATGTTCTTATACACTTCACCGATGTTGTTGTACGACGTAGCCAAATCGGGATGATTCGGAGGTAGAGCTTTTTCTCTAATTTTAAGTGCTTTTTCGTAAAATTCAAGTGCTTTCGAGCGGTTACCCATATCTTTATACACTTCACCGATGTTGTTGTATGAAGTAGCCAAATCGGGATGATTCGGAGGCAGAGCTATTCTTCGAATTTCAAGTGATCGTTCGTAATACGAAAGTACTTTCGGGTACTCCCCCATCTTATAATGCACCGCACCGATGTCGTTGTAGTCAGAAGCCAAGTCGGGATGATTCGGAGGAAGAGCTTTCTGGTGGATATCAAGTGTTTTTTCGTAATATGAAAGTGCTCTCGAGTACTCGCCCATGTTATCATACATCTGACCACGTTGACGATTGTATGTCGCTTGATCTTTATCAGAGAATGCTTTTGTGGATTCGTCTAGTTTAAGAAGATATAATGAAATTTAGCAGCGAATTCGAGTTTTTCGTACTGATATTCGCTTCTAGACCTGGATTGAGTCTTTTCTTGCTTCAGCTGGATGCAGAATTATAGTCTGCATCGATTGATCATATTTTCGAGGGCAGTCATCAGACAAAAACCGGGGGTTCGGCACACAATCCTGAGTCTGGGACACTCGCCCAATGGTAATTTCTGTTGATATTCGCCCATTGACTTAGATTAGGTTTCTAGTTAATTGGATTAGATGCAGACTTCAATTCTGCATCGAATGGTAATATTTACAAGGGAAATCATCGAACAAAAAACTGAGCTTGGCCGGAAGTAGGCAATTTTTCCATCGTCTTCATGAGATTTGGGTTGAGTATGTTGTCATCATCGCTGTAGTGTATTCAAAGAAACACTTTGCATTAGTTTACTTTTAGGATTGCGCTTTTATTCTGTCTTGAAGGGATGCTTTAGCTGATTAAAGTTAGGTTAACCCGTTTCAGGAGCATATGAAAACATACGAACATGTGGAGGGGATAGTATGGAAAACTCCGTGACTGATGATTTTCTGTTGTCTTCATCGTAATTCTTTGATAGATGGATTTAACCTTTTTTTAATATTCTTGCTGTTGTAATTATTATATGTCCTGATGCCGATTGATCGCCTTGCCATCAATGGCACCACGTGAATGGTGAATATTGACGTTCTGTCACAGAATATCGGTGATATCGATGAATATCTATCTCTTTAGGATGAGTGCTCATGATGTCTAAAATAGTCACGCCTAGGTTCTAGAGAAAATCAAAGCTTATTTTTATAAAAAAAACAGGTAGTTGTAAAAAGAAGTTATCATCTTTTATTGTTAATTGAATAAGAAAGCCTGTGATAGCCTGCTGTCGTAATTTTCTTCTTCCTGAAAAAAGGATATATAGAAAACAGTACAAGTTTTTTTATGTTTAAATTATCATTTTTCGTACATGCAAACGAACTCATGTACAAAGCATACTTGCACTGATCTTGTACTATAATAGCAGAAAGATTATTTATCGAATTGTTTTGATGTGATGCACCAAACAGTTCAAGTACGTTACAAAGATTTTCAGAGAAATATACGAAGAGTTATAAAAATGATAGTTAATCTACGTATGCAAAAGACTGTTTTTGCAGCTATTTCTCTCGCATATTGAATATTGTACTTGGTATGCCATATGAAACCTCAAACACTCATTGAGCTGTTAAATACTGACAGATATGGATCCAAGGAAATTTTCGGTGTTCATATCAGTATTCCACAATAATATTATTTGCAAACTATTCCTCATTTAGAGCAACCTCCTCCCCAGAAAATATTATCCCTCGATGCGTAGTCGAATTCAACATCTAACCAAATCAAATAAAGATTCGACCGAAGCTTCCAAGCGAAAATGATCACGGAGTACTGTTAGAAGAGAATCCCAGACTCAGTATTTCGAGCCAAACTCCCAGTTTTTGCTCGATGATCCGCCTTAAAAGTATCATCATTCGATGCAGAATCGAAGTATGCATCTAATCCAACTAGCTAGTAAGGCAATCCAAGTTTATGAGCGAATATTAGCAGGATTTACCGTTGGAAGACGGACCTAGACTCAGTATTTAGGATCGAACGCTCGGCTTTTGTCTCATGACATCCCTTCGAAAATAGGACTAATCGGTGCAGAATTGAATCCAACTAACTGGAAACCTAACTCAAGCCCCATGAGTGAGAAGCAGCTGAGATTACCATCGGAAGAGTGTTCCAGACTCAGCATTTTGGGCTAATCTCCCAGTTTTTGCTTGACAATTCCTCTTGAAAATATCGCCGTTCGATGTAAAATTTAATTCTGCATCTGATCCAAGCAAGAAGAAACTCAACCCAAGTCTAGCAGTGAATATTAGCAGGAAAAACTTGAATCTAGTGCTAACTTTACTTATGCAAAATCTCGTATTAGAAGATTAAGCTCATTTTCATTATAGTAATCATAGCATCGATAGAAAATTTATTGAGTAAAGAAAACGAATCGGAAAATTCATAATATACATCTGGATCAAATGTCACTAAACGTAGAGTGATGATGTTTCATTTTTTTTATAAGCAATATTTTTAGTAATAACTTAGATAACCCATCGAAAAGCTCATTAGCATCAATATGACTATTTTCGTAAAGTGAATATATAGTATCAAATCCAATGTTGCATTCAAGCAATATCTTATAACTAATATCTTTCGCATTCTATTCTTTACATTCGATATTTTTTCTTTTCGATCTTTTCTCATTCATTCTATTGTTTAGACCTCACTGAAGAAATTTTACTCATTGTTAAGTAAGAAAAATACATATGAAACATGTTGTTAATAATTTTTCCTTGTTATTGACCAGAATAATAAGAAGCAGTGAAAACAAATTATATTCATGAATACAGAGCAAATTTTCAAAACGAATAGTAGTCAGTTTAAATGCGTGAATATTCCTGTCCCGTAAGTAAAACATATTATTACATTGCAGAAAAAACCAATGTTCTATGTTTTGAAAATTCGAAATATTGTAAGCATTGACTTTTAAACTAAATAACTATAGTCTGATTAATGAGAAGTTTGAGTTAACATTTGATTTTTTTTTTGTATTCATTTTTCTTTCATGGTGATGTATTCTTTTGTTTTTCATATACTATAGACTGATATGAATTGGTCATATATTTACTATTATAACTCTATAGTGTTCCTTTATCTATACTGTACATCTTAGACGTTTATCCTTTTGTATGTATATATATAATGTCAAGTATAGTGATTGTTGCATACTATTACAAACTTGATTTTCATTTGTACATTAAACCTTATTTCACATATTTGTTATATGGTACATATGCATGACACTATGTAGTAATATATTCCAAGATAGCTTTCTAGACTATGCTTACTTTCTTGTATTATGACATATAGAGTTCATTTGTTAGTATAGTGGTTATGGTCTCTATATCAATAGGTGAACTCTGTATGTCATAATACAAGAAAGTCAACATATAGTATAGAAAGTTATCTCGAAATATATTAGTACATAGTGTCATGTATATATAACATATAACGAATATGTGAAATAAGGTTTAATGTACAAATGAAAATCAAGTTTGTAATAGTATGCGACAATAACTATACTTGACATTATATATATATATATATACATACAAAAGGATAGAAATCTAAGATATACAGTATAGATAAAGGAACACTATAGAGTTATAATAGTAAATATATGACCAATTCATATCAGTCTATAGTATATGAAAAACAAGCGATCACATCATCATGAAATAAAAATGAACACAAAAAAAAATCAAATTTTAACTCGGATTTTTAATTAATCGGACTATAGTTTTGAACATTTGCTCTATTCGTATCAAAAGATTATCATTCATAAAGTTCATTTTAATTCTATTCTTTTTATTCTCTTAGATAACAAGTGAAAATTATCTATGAAATGCTACCCCTCTATTTTTCTTACTTGAAAACAGGTAAAATTGTATTCATGATACCAACAGTAATACTTGATAGTGGTATTTACTCACTTTATCTGTACGAAAAAAGGGTGTGTTGGCGCCGGTGTGAGTATGATTCTCTTCAATGACCCACACCCATACCCCTATATGATCAATTGAAAATAGATGAAAACTTCTGGAAGAAAAAATACAAAGAAAAATATTCCAAAATCTGACTCTAGACTTCTCACCAAGGCAATCAATGTAAAGAGAAATCGTCTTGACGAACATTGATTGTAATATGAAGGATAATAAACGATCGTTTATAGAACGAAATGTCTTAAGTATTTTTGTCCTCTACATTTTCTCTTTAGAGACATCTGCTCAATGACATATTTCAAAAGTAGAAAGAATTATTGTCCGACTCAAGTCAGAAGTCCTAGAACATCGTACATATTGATGAAAAAATATATTTATGAGTGAATGTGTTTCCTTTGATTTCCGATATCTTAGTAGCTAAGAGATAAGAGTGATGTGGATATATTAAAGGTTTGATAAAGACGCATTCCTCAATTGAACATCAAACCCTAAGTTTTCGTTATTTTATTGAAATTCTACTCTTGAGAAACTGGGGAGATTCTACGTTGTCGGAACAAAAGTAATTAGAATAAAACTGAAACTGAATTATGAGCGAATTGCAACTTTTTAGTACGATTAGCTCGGAAAAGTAAAAGTTGATCTTAGCAATCTCTAAGAAGTGTGTATTTTTTTTACTCGCTATATCTACATTGTATGGCAAAAGTTTGCCTACACTTTATTAGATATTAAAGAAAACACACGCTGTAAAGTTTAATGCTTGCCTAATTCAATAGTAAAAGTAGCTTTACTCGTGTAAAACGTTTCAATCATTTTTTAGATTTGAATGGAAAATGAGTAGCCAGGACGGTACACAATCAACTCAGATTTACTCGTCAAATTTTGCTGAGTTAAATTATAATTGTAAAGAATACTTTTGAATGAGTTTGCTCTGAAATATTTTCGGAAAAACCATTATTCCATATTTTTTTTAGGAAAAAATGTCACTCTACACTTTCAATGTATTGTAAATTTTTCCTGTACGATGCAAGATTGAGAGCTGAAATTTTTACCACTTACATGATTCTTTGCTTTACATCTGCTGTAAAAGTTTGAGTCAAATCGAATGAATCATTGAAGAGTTATAGAGCAGACAATTTTCAAAATGTCACTCTACAAAGTGAATATACTGACATTTTTTAGAAAGTCCTGCTGTTTTTCCTCGGAAAAAACTGATAAGAGAGAACATTTTTCGCCAGTTCGATACTACACCAGTTCTATTTCTTCTCATATAGTCTGTGCACCGCCAGGTCTATTACACACGGAGCTGGATTTTCTAATGTGTCACTCTATACAATAATATA